GGACGTGAGAACCAAGAGAGGAGCTGATATAGCATCAGATCATCACTTGCTGGTCGCCAAGATGAAATTGAAACTCAAGAAGCACTGGACAATGGGGCAGACAGTATCACAAAAGTTCAATACGGCCTTCCTCCAGGATACTAACAAACTCAACAAATTCAAGATAGACCTCAGCAACAAGTTCCAGGCCTTTCATGATCTACTCAATGGAGAAGGAACTACTGTGGAGAGCAACTGGAAGGGGATCAAAGAGGCAATCACTTCAACATGTCATGAAGTCCTGGGCCACAAGAAGCACCATCACAAAGAATGGATCACTGTTGATTCACTGGATAAGATTCAAAAAAGAAGAAACAAGAAGGCAGCGATCAATACCAGTCGAACAAGAGCAGAAAACGCCAAGGCACAAGCTGAATACACGGAAATAAACAAACAAGTGAAGAGGAGCATCAAAACCGACAAACGTAAATATGTGGAAGATTTAGCAACGACGGCGGAAAAGGCTGCAAGAGAAGGAAACATGAGACAATTGTATGACACGACAAAGAAACTCTCTGGAAATCGCCGCAAACCAGAACGACCAGTGAAAAGCAAGGAAGGCAAGGTAATCACCAACATTGAAGAGCAACAAAACAGGTGGATAGAACACTTCAAAGAACTCTTGAATCGACCAGCGCCACTGAACCCACCCAACATCGAAGCAGCACCCACGAACCTCCCAATCGATGTTGGCCCACCAACAATTGAAGAAATCAGCATGGCCATCAGACAAATCAAGAGTGGCAAAGCAGCAGGACCGGACAACATCCCAGCAGAGGCACTAAAAGCAGACGTAGCGGCAACTGCAAGGATACTCCACATTCTCTTCAATAAGATTTGGGATGAGGAACAAGTACCAACAGACTGGAAAGAAGGACTTCTAATCAAAATACCGAAGAAAGGCGATCCCAGCAAGTGTGATAACTACAGGGGCATCACTCTTCTCTCAATACCGGGAAAAGTCTTCAACAGAGTATTGTTAAACAGGATGAAGGACTGCGTAGTCCAACTTCGTGAACAACAGGCAGGATTCCGTAAGGATCGATCGTGTACAGACCAAATCGCAACTCTACGGATCATTGTGGAACAATCAATTGAATGGAATTCATCACTCTACATCAACTTCATTGACTACGAAAATGCATTTGACAGCGTGGACAGAACAACACTATGGAAACTTCTTCGACACTACGGCGTGCCTCAGAAGATAGTCAATATCATACAGAACTCATATGATGGATTACACTGCGAAATTGTGCATGGAGGACAGTTGACAAAGTCGTTCGAAGTGGAGACCGGTGTTAGGCAAGGTTGCTTACTCTCACCCTTTCTCTTTCTTCTGGTGATCGATTGGATCATGAAGAGGTCAACATCTGGGGGGGAAGCATGGGAGACAGTGAACAGCTAGGAAGCAGCTGGACGATCTAGATTACCCAGATGATCTGATTCTTCTATCGCACACGCAACAACAAATTCAGGAGAAGATGACCAGTGCAGCAGGAACCTCAGAAGCAGTAGGTCTCATCATACACAAAGAGAAAAGCAAGATTCTCTGATACAACACAGGATGGAACAATCGAGTCACATTTGACGGAGAAGATTTAGAAGATGTAAAAGCATTTACATGTCTGGGCAGCATCATTGATGAACAGGGTGGATTTGATGCAGATGTGAAGGCGCGGATCGGCAAAGCAAGAGCAGCATATTTGCAACTGAAGAACATCTGGAACTCAAAGCAACTGTCAACCAACACCAAGGTCAGGATTTTCAATACAAATGTCAAGACAGTTCTACTGTATGGGGCAGAAACCTGGAGAACTACAAAAGCCATCATCCAGAAAATACAGGTGTTTATTAACAATTGTCTACGCAAAATACTTCAGATCCATTGGTCGGACACTATTAGCAACAACGTACTGTGGGAGAGAACAAACCAGATCCCAGTGGAGGAAGAAATCAGGAAGAAGCGCTGGAAGTGGATAGGACACACATTGAGGAAAGCATTCAACTGCGCCACAAGACAAGCCCTCACATGGAATCCTGAATGTCAAAGGAAAAGAGGAAGACCAAAGAACACATTACGCCGGGAAATGGAGATAGACATGAGAAAAATGAACAAGAATTGGATGGAACTAGAAAAGAAGGCCCAGGACAGAGTGGGTTGGGGAATGCTGGTCAGCGGCCTATGCTCCATTGGGAGTAACAGGCGTAAGTAAGTAAGTAAGTAAGTAAGTACGGTTATCAAAAGATGATACAATGAAATAAAGAAGCATAGTAAAATTAATAATAATAGTGTAAGAAGGAGTTCATTTAGGGAAAACAATCAGAAGGAATTCTTACGGTCAAAAAAATTACCCTCATTTTTACAAAAACGTTGTGACAGAATCATCATTGGCTTTAATTCTGAGTCATTTCTGATTGTGTCTTAAGCTACTGTGTCATACCATCTTCAAGACATAGATCTGCGAATCCTGGGAGACCATCAGAAGCCGGCCTTGAACAGATTTCTTTCATGCAACGACGTAAAGTCAAACACTGACCGCCTATCCGCTCTTTCGAACAGGTCCTAGAGACGGTAAATAACGCGCGGTGCACACAAAATCTCGAACCGCTGTACTGCAAACATGACATTCCCACTAAATGTCAGCAAACATCCGGAGTCAGTGACGATCAAACACGGAGAGTAACTCAAAATCCTTAACTTAGATTTCACAGGCACAGATCGAGAATTTTCTCACAAACGTTTCGTGGATACGACCTTTTACAGTCAAAACAGAATCACAGTTCCGAAAAACAGTTTAGACTAGCATAAGTCAGGCTGACTATCTACACGGAGGTTGATTTTACCGCTAATGTCACCGCTAGCACTTGTGCAGCTACCCACATACACGAAACGTCTTTTATATCCAGGCTCGTAACCGGTGATATACAGCAAGTGTCCGCTAACCAGGAAAATTAAAACATAAGATTAGGAGAAAAGTAAATACACTAAGAGTCCTCTAATCGAACAGGCCAATTAGGGTCAATGACATAATTGGAGTCTTACAATTAACTATTTAATTGATTTGATGTTATAATAAGTGTGTATTCACTTAAGTCATTTTGGAACCGAGTTGATTTGCACTTCACATTGGTGTTAGTCATGGGTATAGCTATTAGGCGACTAATATAATGAAACGTTGCTATGCGCCGAAGTAGTATGATGGTCAAGTTATTGACCAACCATCCGGGTATCCTCTGATATTATTTCAAAATTTGGCGGCTCATTTTATTAAGTCGTTTGATGGACAAGTTTTCATTAGAGTATCAAAAAGGTGTCAGAAGCTCTTGTAAGATCTACCAGGATGATCACTAGCGTCCAACTGGTGTCCAGGGAACACTGTTTAATATGCCGAATCGTCTTTATGGGATGGGTAGTATATTTTAATGGTTCCTGTTTTCTAAAACCCTTTCTTTAAAGATGCTTATCACGTCTGCACCTAGCCAGTGGTCTGATATGATTCTGGGGTTAGTCTAGATTCTATTATTAATAATAGAACGTTATTTAGCTGCTTGCTTCAATGTTTGACAGTTTTCGTAGTTATGCGGGTGGGTTGAGGATTTTGCGGTTCTTCAACTTTTAAAAGCTGAGTTTGAATACTTAGGTTGTTAGATAAGGATACCTAATTGCGTTTATTGGTAGGTTGAGTAGTCGTAGTTCACATGTTTCGGCATTGAATAGGTATTGATAACGATTATTGAGATTACCTAGTTTAACTTGATTATTTTTCCTCTTTTTATAAGTTTAATTTCTTCTGGTGGCTAAAATATCATTAAGCATTTTATGAGCTAAGTGATGGTCATTTTGTAGAAGAAATGTTCACCTCGACGATTTTATTCAAAATGCATTATTCTTTAGCTCTTTCCATCATTTAAGTACCATTTAAATACACTGTTTCATAGGTTCTTTATCTATTTGGTAGGCTTAACACACGAATCTCGGTTTAATTGATGTCCAGTGAAAATAAGATATCAAGTATCGTTTAAAGTTATAGATCACTTTTTCGAAAAGGAAATCAAAGGCACCTTATGCCCAAATCGTGTTATATGGTGAGCAGATATTCATGTTGCAGCGTGGTGTCGAGTAGGGATTGACTATGAACACCGCTACAAAGAATCGCGTGCCAGATAAATCAGAAAGCGTAGGTTGAACCTAACCAAATAAATCCATAAAATCCCCGAAAAGCCAAATATCAGAAGGCAGTTAATGGACCAAGTCGAGATATATTTGCTGGCGATCTCGTGGTATCGAAAGGATACAGAGATCGAGTCAGGATACAAGCTTGGTTATAGAACGTGACCGAATTCGCGCGAAGTCACAATCAAAGCGTAAGAATAAGAATGGAAGACAATACTGCTGTCATGACCACAATAAAATGTATTCACAATATGACATAGGTAACACTAAATCATTGATGATCTTATCATTATAACTAACCACATTTATCACTCTTCTTTCCTGAGTGCATATTATTGTGGAGGAAACAACAGTATTTTTGTGGCGTTTTCCACATTTCAATGTGAATATGGGGAAACTTCATTCAACTAGTATTAAATCGAATGATAACGACAGAGGGAGCTGAATTTAAACCAGTATACGGTGACTAATATACTGCCAATCAACAAGATGACAAATGTTGAAAACCATCATTCGGGCGTTCCTAACCAGTGTTACTTTGTTCATTTCAGAACTGTTTATGACAGCCGATGGAAGTTTGGAGGACCAGTTGAAGACTCCATGGTTAAATATGAGCGATAAAAATGCAGCGGTACAAACAGAATTGAATATCTGTACATATCAATTATCAAGTGAAGCATGGTAGAAAATAATTTTCAAGATGCAAAAAGTTGATAAACTAACCAACAAATGAATAGTTCTTCTTGAAAATTTACGGCTAGCATTCGTACAGATACTATTATAAATGATTAAAAAAATAACCACTACTGATACTGCTACTGCTATCAATACAACAACAACAACAACAATAACAACAACAACAACAACAACAACAACTACTACTACTACTACTACTACTACTACTACTACTACTACTAATACTACTACTACTACTACTACTACTACTACTACTACTACTACTACTACTACTACTACTACTACTACTACTACTACTACTACTACTACTACTAATACTAATACTAATACTAATACTAATACTAATACTACTACTACTACTACTACTACTACTACTACTACTACTACTACTGCAACGACTAATGATACATATTATTATCTCCGCGTATGTAGAACGGTCGCCTTATTATGCTACGACAAATACTACATGTTATAACTTGTGAATCATCTGTGTGCCCTGTTTATTGTATAACGCAAAGATACCGCCAATCAGAGAGCAACGAATTATCGATCGAACCAGTGGCGCATAAAACACGTGCGGGCAGCCTAGACTCTTGATTGGTTTTGCTTCCTGTCTAGCCCAGCCAGTTAAGTCCACAACACCAATCTCAGCCTCTGCAATATGAATAATTTATTCCAAACATACTCGGTTTATATACCAATCAAACAGACCACAACGTACCATAAAATATGAAACAACATTTGTACAATATTTAGTCAAAAGTGGCTGTGAATGAGGGAGATAGTAATTAATAGACAGGCCATAATTCAAGAATGGTAAATCGTATAGTAATAGTCTATCGGTCAAATTAAAGCTTTTAATAAGAGCGACATGAATATGAACAGTTTAGTTACATAACAATTACACGATGAAAATATACTCATAGTAATGGCCCATAAATCGATCTCAAGAATTACCATTCATTATTCTTATCGGGATATAACACTACAACTGATATTATGCACTACATCCGGATGTCATTGTTATTCGAAAGATCTTGAGTCTGAGGGGAGCTAATTTAATTATACGAAACAATCTACATTCACTAAAAGGCGTCCACTAGTTTGCTCAAATCGGTCATTACTGTTTCTTATGTTGAAATGGCAGTAAATCAAATGACTCAATAAAAACTAGCATTCATTAATGAATTACGACTTCAAGTTGCTGAATATAAATCTTTGTTTCCCTACTACAAAACAAATAAACACAGAACACCAAAAGTATAAACGATGAGTCGCTGAGGGTTGGACAGAGACTTGTTGTCAAATGAAACTTTCGCTAACACTACTTAGAACCTATGTCATGTAGGGTCGAATAAAAAGGGAACGAAAATAAACACTCTCTGAAAATGCTCGTTAAAAGCACTCGATGATCACTATTGTGTGCTGTGAGGTAACTTAATATGGAAAACGTTAACTATGTGATAGATATCAAACCACTTAGTAAACGATAATTCGATTAGTCATTCACATACTAATATTGAATATTACACAACTCGTGATCGTAAACAAGTAGCTTTCTAATGATGATGAATCTTGAGCATAACGCAGATCATTTGTACAGAGTTCTGTAGTTTGTTACGCAGTGATCCTGACCAAATCAATCATCCATAATACTGCATATTACATTCGTTCCTAGTAATGAATCATCTCACTGTAAATCATGTGTTGCAGCTATCGCGAATAGCCGTTTTCTCGTAGAATCTTATCTATGTATACACACATGGAATGCAAAACAGCGACAGGCATTAAAACAAACGAGTATTCACTCTTATTCTAACATCAATAAATAACCATTGTGGACCACGATCACAGATATTTTAACACTTCATTCAGCTTGTGGTAGTTGAACAATTCACCTCACCTGGTCATTCGTTACTTTTTAACAGTATTGATTTTGATTGTCTCGAATCACTAACAATTAAACTAACAAAGTTTGGAATGCACGTTATAAAGTATTTTGACCGGCATGTCTGACAATAACGACCATCAATCCTGTAACTTTACCACCTACTTTCAAGTAAAATGCTTGCACAAAGGTCGTTGCATACTTTTAATTTTTCCATCTTCATGTCCATCAACTTTATTGATTTTGTTACGGTATTCACTGGTCTGTAATCGGAAATCAGAGTAATTGTGTGCGGATAAATGAAAAAGTCAAAATTCGATAGTAGGGATAAACATCCATCATCCTCTATTGCCGAACACATAATTGAAACAGGTCATAAGATCGATCTTAACTCGCCTTTTGTAGTGTTGTACAAAAGCATAAGGTTTATTAAAGCCTTATCCATACGAAAATGTGAACCCGTTGTGCATATTCGGAAACAGTTTGTCCTCACCTTAAACCCACCCTGGTAACATTAGCTTATTAACCAGTGATGAGATTTCATATTGTTTTCACAATATTTTCCTTATTATCCTTGTCTCCTCTCACTCTCTACTTCTAGTATAGTTAACCTTTTATCTTTATATACAAATGCTCTTAACAAGTATATGTGTGATAAGATTGTTCGAAATATATTGTGCTAATATATCACATAGTTCTGACAATCTTCGTCTTCTTATTACACTATCGAAATTCATCAAAGAGAGTAATTGCTTTAAAGACAAAGTCAAAGTTATGGTATGAATTTCCAGTCATATGAGAGAGTTTCAGTGTTGAAAATATCTACATATTAATTACAAAACTCTTTGTGATGTTGTGCAGTCGTCCGAGTCTGATACCGAATTGTACACTTCCTATATGGAAACTGAAACAAGCTACTTGATTAAGTAATAGGTTATATTAAGTAACTGAATCAAAGAATTTTAAAATACTACGGTGGGATGTGACACACTGATAGATATATCGTTATAGAAAAGCATGTCAATACTCCGGAAGCGTGCAATGAAAGTTACAAATCTTGCTTACTTACTTACTTACTAACGTCTGTTAGCCTTCATGGAGGAGCATAGGTCGTCCACTAGCATTCTCCATCAAACTCTGTCCTGGTCAATCATTCTCAATTATTTTTAAATTGAATTAATTTATTCCATATCTTACTTTAATTCCTAACATAATCTATCTTAAACAGTTTACATATAATAAACTGCTATAAGACAAATTACTGACCATTAAATACATGAGATGATGAATCATCTGCAGTCCAAAACAATCAACAAAATGACCAGTTGCCATATATAAACAAAATTATTCCTCAAAAGTGCATTGTTTGTTTACATATATTACAGAACAAAATTATTATTATTTATAATAATGTCGTAAAATAAATTCATCTGTTAATTAGAAATAATACTCTCATCATACAAAGAGAATGGAGCAGGAGCAATTGGTTATTTTGTTGATTGTTTTGGACTGCAGATGATTCATCATCTCATGTATTTAATGGTCAGTAATTTGTCTTATAGCAGTTTATTATATGTAAACTGTTTAAGATAGATTATGTTAGGAATTAAAGTAAGATATGGAATAAATTAATTCAATTTAAAAATAATTGAGAATGATTGACCAGGACAGAGTTTGATGGAGAATGCTAGTGGACGACCTATGCTCCTCCATGAAGGCTAACAGACGTTAGTAAGTAAGTAAGTAAGCAAGATTTGTAACTTTCATTGCACGCTTCCGGAGTATTGACATGCTTTTCTATAACGATATATCTATCAGTGTGTCACATCCCACCGTAGTATTTTAAAATTCTTTGATTCAGTTACTTAATATAACCTATTACTTAATCAAGTAGCTTGTTTCAGTTTCCATATAGGAAGTGTACAATTCGGTATCAGACTCGGACGACTGCACAACATCACAAAGAGTTTTGTAATTAATATGTAGATATTTTCAACACTGAAACTCTCTCATATGACTGGAAATTCATACCATAACTTTGACTTTGTCTTTAAAGCAATTACTCTCTTTGATGAATTTCGATAGTGTAATAAGAAGACGAAGATTGTCAGAACTATGTGATATATTAGCACAATATATTTCGAACAATCTTATCACACATATACTTGTTAAGAGCATTTGTATATAAAGATAAAAGGTTAACTATACTAGAAGTAGAGAGTGAGAGGAGACAAGGATAATAAGGAAAATATTGTGAAAACAATATGAAATCTCATCACTGGTTAATAAGCTAATGTTACCAGGGTGGGTTTAAGGTGAGGACAAACTGTTTCCGAATATGCACAACGGGTTCACATTTTCGTATGGATAAGGCTTTAATAAACCTTATGCTTTTGTACAACACTACAAAAGGCGAGTTAAGATCGATCTTATGACCTGTTTCAATTATGTGTTCGGCAATAGAGGATGATGGATGTTTATCCCTACTATCGAATTTTGACTTTTTCATTTATCCGCACACAATTACTCTGATTTCCGATTACAGACCAGTGAATACCGTAACAAAATCAATAAAGTTGATGGACATGAAGATGGAAAAATTAAAAGTATGCAACGACCTTTGTGCAAGCATTTTACTTGAAAGTAGGTGGTAAAGTTACAGGATTGATGGTCGTTATTGTCAGACATGCCGGTCAAAATACTTTATAACGTGCATTCCAAACTTTGTTAGTTTAATTGTTAGTGATTCGAGACAATCAAAATCAATACTGTTAAAAAGTAACGAATGACCAGGTGAGGTGAATTGTTCAACTACCACAAGCTGAATGAAGTGTTAAAATATCTGTGATCGTGGTCCACAATGGTTATTTATTGATGTTAGAATAAGAGTGAATACTCGTTTGTTTTAATGCCTGTCGCTGTTTTGCATTCCATGTGTGTATACATAGATAAGATTCTACGAGAAAACGGCTATTCGCGATAGCTGCAACACATGATTTACAGTGAGATGATTCATTACTAGGAACGAATGTAATATGCAGTATTATGGATGATTGATTTGGTCAGGATCACTGCGTAACAAACTACAGAACTCTGTACAAATGATCTGCGTTATGCTCAAGATTCATCATCATTAGAAAGCTACTTGTTTACGATCACGAGTTGTGTAATATTCAATATTAGTATGTGAATGACTAATCGAATTATCGTTTACTAAGTGGTTTGATATCTATCACATAGTTAACGTTTTCCATATTAAGTTACCTCACAGCACACAATAGTGATCATCGAGTGCTTTTAACGAGCATTTTCAGAGAGTGTTTATTTTCGTTCCCTTTTTATTCGACCCTACATGACATAGGTTCTAAGTAGTGTTAGCGAAAGTTTCATTTGACAACAAGTCTCTGTCCAACCCTCAGCGACTCATCGTTTATACTTTTGGTGTTCTGTGTTTATTTGTTTTGTAGTAGGGAAACAAAGATTTATATTCAGCAACTTGAAGTCGTAATTCATTAATGAATGCTAGTTTTTATTGAGTCATTTGATTTACTGCCATTTCAACATAAGAAACAGTAATGACCGATTTGAGCAAACTAGTGGACGCCTTTTAGTGAATGTAGATTGTTTCGTATAATTAAATTAGCTCCCCTCAGACTCAAGATCTTTCGAATAACAATGACATCCGGATGTAGTGCATAATATCAGTTGTAGTGTTATATCCCGATAAGAATAATGAATGGTAATTCTTGAGATCGATTTATGGGCCATTACTATGAGTATATTTTCATCGTGTAATTGTTATGTAACTAAACTGTTCATATTCATGTCGCTCTTATTAAAAGCTTTAATTTGACCGATAGACTATTACTATACGATTTACCATTCTTGAATTATGGCCTGTCTATTAATTACTATCTCCCTCATTCACAGCCACTTTTGACTAAATATTGTACAAATGTTGTTTCATATTTTATGGTACGTTGTGGTCTGTTTGATTGGTATATAAACCGAGTATGTTTGGAATAAATTATTCATATTGCAGAGGCTGAGATTGGTGTTGTGGACTTAACTGGCTGGGCTAGACAGGAAGCAAAACCAATCAAGAGTCTAGGCTGCCCGCACGTGTTTTATGCGCCACTGGTTCGATCGATAATTCGTTGCTCTCTGATTGGCGGTATCTTTGCGTTATACAATAAACAGGGCACACAGATGATTCACAAGTTATAACATGTAGTATTTGTCGTAGCATAATAAGGCGACCGTTCTACATACGCGGAGATAATAATATGTATCATTAGTCGTTGCAGTAGTAGTAGTAGTAGTAGTAGTAGTAGTAGTAGTAGTAGTAGTATTAGTATTAGTATTAGTATTAGTATTAGTATTAGTATTAGTAGTAGTAGTAGTAGTAGTAGTATTAGTAGTAGTAGTAGTAGTAGTATTAGTAGTAGTAGTAGTAGTAGTAGTAGTAGTAGTAGTAGTAGTAGTAGTTGTTGTTGTTGTTGTTGTTGTTGTTGTTGTTATTGTTGTTGTTGTTGTTGTTGTATTGATAGCAGTAGCAGTATCAGTAGTGGTTATTTTTTTAATCATTTATAATAGTATCTGTACGAATGCTAGCCGTAAATTTTCAAGAAGAACTATTCATTTGTTGGTTAGTTTATCAACTTTTTGCATCTTG